GTTTCAGTAAGCACGTGAAATACACGAGTTTATGGTCCGAAATGCCAGGTTCAACAAAGACAGAAAATTTTTCAATTGATCGACTTACAAAAATAAGATCGAGAATCGTTGCTGACGTATCTTGAATACATGTCGGTTGTTTGACAACTTGCTGCAAGTTATGACAAAGCATGATGTTGCGTAGGTAGTTCACGTGCAAGTTGGATTCAACAAAAAAGGACGAGTTCTTCCAATCAATGCCTGGGAGATTAAAATCATTATAAGCATCACATTGGTACTTTTAAAGGATGCAATATGTTTGCAAAGGTCAGAAAGAAATTGGGCAGGTGAGTTAGGGGCTCGGTACACCACAAACAACAAAAATGATTTACCCCAGCAAGTAAGTTTCAAGGATACAGTTTCTAAGTTATTCGCTTGACGTAAGAGAACAGCAGATATGTTTTCTTTAACCAAAACTGCAACTCCGCCCCCCCCCCCCCCCTCGAAGACCTATCGCGAGGAAAGGTCTGATAAGATGGAGGGAAAACAACTGTGTCATCAATATCGTCATGCAGCCACGTTTCAGTTAAAACAACTACGTGAGGACTGTAACTCAAGATAAGTGATTAAAGATTCTCAGACTTGTTAACAATGCTTCGAGCATTAATGTTTAGGACACGCAATTCTTTAGGTGCTTAGGGTGCGCATCAGTCATTCCTTGAAGTGCCCTGTGGTCAACTTGAATTTGGATTCTCGAGTTTTTCTGTTCATCCCAAAAGAAAAAGCTTATTGCCCACCCGAAGTTTGTCATTAATTAAGGTACCTTTTTTTCCCTGCTCTTTCTCAGCTCTTTCTCAGCTGCTCTTTCTCTGGATCGATATACTGGAGCCTTTTAATTTATAAGCATTCTTCAATACAAGCTGCTTTTCGTTATATATAGTCCTGAAAATATACTATGACTGGTCTTTGTTTGCCCGGCCTCCCAAGTCGATGTATTCTACCGGTGGATTTACAATGTATGCCAATCTTTGCAGCGAACGTTTCATCGAGAACTTTACTTTTAAGGACTGATTCCGTTTCATTCGGGTCTTCAGAGATACCGAATACCACCATATTTGATCGCCTGCTCCTATGCTCGAGGTCAGTCAGTTTTGCTTCCAGAGATTTAACAGTTCGTTCGAGGTCATCAACACGAGAAACTTTGTTTTTTGGCTCAGAAAACCTGGCTCCCAAGATCAGCCACCAGTCTTTCTATGCTAGCCTGTTATTCCCTAAGCGCCGTTATTTCCTTAGTCAAATTACTTTGCCCTGATAATAATTCCTTGAGTATGGATTCAACAGAGCAGTTACTGCCGCTGGAGGGGCCGGGACTTAACTCAACATCCCCGCACAGCGCGAGCAAGCACACATAAAACTAATTTTTGGCAATAGCGATGCACTGTTGGGGGCACGGCAAGACTACAAGACCACGATAATCACTCTTAATTGTACAATAGTAGTCACTGACCTGCATGAAGCAAAGGAAAGGCTTATAAATCCACATGGTTGTTGATGGTCTGCCGTGCCCACAAAAACTGAAGGCTTGGGGTTGATTCCTTATAAAGCAGCGTGCCGACGTCACGTGATGAACAAGTGGCGTCTCAGGAAGAGAGTCGCGTTGTAGCAAAGCGGCGTCATCACAAAGCAACGTAGGCTGCACCAGCGTCACCGAAGAAACCGATGCGATTAGGGGCCACCCTTCATAGTTAGCCAGATATGGCCGGCACAATCCCGTGTAGATAGCTGGATGCAACTGCACAGTAGATGAGGCTAGACCAATGCATACTTGCATGAAGCAAAGGAAAGGCTTATGAATCCACATGCTTGTTGATGGTCTGCCGTGCCCACAAAAACTGAAGGCCTGGGGTTGATTCCTTATAAAGCAGCGTGCCGACGTCACGTGATGAATAAGTGGCGCCTCAGGAAGAAAGTCATGTTGGAGCAAAGCGGTGTCATCACAAAGCAACGTAGGCTGCACCAGCGTCATCGAAGAAACCGATGTGATTAGGGGCCACCCTTCATAGTTAGCCGGATATGGCCGGCACAATCCCGTGTAGATAGCTGGATGCGACTGCACAGTAGATGCGGCTAGACCAATTCATACCTGCATGAAGCAAAGGAAAGGCTTATGAATCCACATGCTTGTTGATGATCTGCCGTGCCCACAATGTTCTCTCAGATGCCGATCTGCTTCTCTCTGCGTGGAGACGCCCCTCCTTTCTCGTCCCGTGCTGGCCATGCTGCGGCTGCGTAGCGGAGAGGCTCCGCTGCGCTACGCAGTGGTTGTTGTCGTGTTTAGAAAGTGTTGGTGCTGGACATTTCCGCACGCAACTTTCTGTTCTCTTGCCAGGAGAATGCTGAAGCGGAAGTAGAAATGCTTTGCAAGCTGCGTGCGACATTGATTGACTCACTGCAAAGCAAACGTGCGCAGAAGTGCATCACCGATTACTTCAATTAATAACAGATGTCCTGTCATTTGTGAACAAATGTAAGTCTTCTGAAACTTCCCCCTCGTATGTTAGCTCAATGATCATGCACCACTGCATGGAGAGCCCCCCCCCCCCCCCCCCCGTTTATTTAGCTTTCAATAATTCGCACTTTTTTTAATTTGAACAAATTTTTGGGCCCCATCGAGTTCAAATTATCGAGATTCGACTGTAGTTCTACGCTTCGTTGTAGACGTCGTTTAGGGAGTCTTGCGCGTGATGTTTTCAAATAATGTTTCCTCTAGGTTGCTCTAGTGGGGAAGGTATTCACCATCGTCACTACAGATCCTTCTTATACTTTCTTATATGTGGTTGGTCACTAATGTAATTTAGACATGTTTGTGTGTTGGTTCTCCGGAAAGCGTCCTCTTTAATTTTCTTTCTTAAATAGATACTGTCTCGTCTATGAAGTAAATTTCATGACATGTAGCCAACCAACTTATATCATGAAACTTTCTGAAAAAGATACCGAAGAACTAATCCATTTTATAGAATGTAGAGAGAAGGTAAATTGCTGATGAAGGATAAGCACAAAGAAATTCACGCCACGAACATTACCCTTTATAATTCAATAAACATGGCATTAAAGTCTGCTACCCCAGTTTATCACCTGGATTGCTAAAGTGAAGTCGTAGGCATATGACAGTTTTAAGTCCAGTCGATATAAGTCTGCTTAAGCAATGCCATACATTTTGCCCCACAAACAACGCACTGAATGAATATAATCTCTACAAAGGCTTAACTGAGTTTTGAAGACGTTTGCACATAAAGGAGTTTTTTTTTTTATTAGGCAGGCACAAAAGATGTTAGCCATGATCCCTTGTGGCAGTCAAGCACCTGGACACCAGATAAAGAGCAATGCCAATAGTCCGATCAGTACATTAAACGTGTTTCAAAAGAAATTCTGAATACAACTAAACATAGTCAAGAGCAAAGAAGGTAACTTTTACAGAACGTATCGAAACAACTCTCAAGCTGAAAGGACATTGTCATAAAACCAGCAGACAAGGGTGGTAATATACTAGTCTGGCCTATAGTTAAATATGAAAACAAAGCTAACAGACAACTCAAGAATATAGTAAGAGCAAACAACACATCATAACAGATTTTCTAGCCAGAGAATTGATCACGTCCTCCAAACACCAGTTCCTCATGCCCAAAAACAAGCAAGTAGGTCGCTTTTACCTTCTTCCGAAATTCATAAGGTTTCTATGACAAACTACTTACTGTGGAAATACCAGACATACCTATAGTGTCTAACGAAAATACGCCTACTGAGTCACTATCAAAATTTTCAAACCATCATTTATCTAACATCCCATTCACCCTACCATCCTTTGTTCAGTACACACTTTCCTCTGAATAAGAGATTTCATTAAAGAAACACACACTTTTGGATCAGGCCATTCTGGTAACATTAGATGTATGCTCTTGGTATAGGAATATACCTAAAACTGAAAGAATTGAAGTGGTGTCAGTCACTCATAGGAAGAAAGCGCAAACAATGCTGAAGTTTACCTTTCATTAGTTGAATTAGTCCTGACACTTAATTATTAATACTTTGATTCGTCCTTCTACCTACAATATTTAAAGAACCCCAGGTGGTCGAAATTTCCGGAGCCCTGGTGGTATTGGAACGTTGAACCCCACATATCAATACCTACAATGTTTTGGCACTAGACTGGGATGGGAACCCCTTTTGCGCCAATATACAGCAAATTTTTATGGGACGCTTAGAATCGAAACTGTTGGAATCAAATCCAGTAAAGCCTATGTTTGTGACATAGATGGTATATTTACTATAAGTGCACTATTCTCCCTATTAACTTCCTGTTCACTTAAAGTTCTGCTAGGGGTTCGGATCCCGGCTGCGGCGGCTGCATTTCCGATGGAGGCGGAAATGTTGTAGGCCCGTGTGCTCAGATTTGGGTGCACGTTAAAGAACCCCAGGCGGTCGAAATTTCCGGAGCCCTCCACTACGGCGTCCTCATAATCATATGGGGGTTTTGGAACGTTAACCCCACATATCAATCAATCAAATCAAAGTTCTGCTAGTAATCATGTCGGTATGTCTGGAACACTCTCACCGCCAAAAACGAGCCCTTAGAATTTGCCTTCTTTCCATCCCGCTAGGTGCAAAGTATTCTCAAGTTTACAGACTAAACTGGGCTGAGAATGTCAGATGGTTACACTAGGTGTTCCCTCTGGGGCTGTTGAAGATTTGCTTTTATCCACATAAGTAGGAATTTTCATGCGAGTTTTGCAGCTGTATTATTGTAATTACCAGTAAAAATTACTTGCACTAAAAGCATTTGCAATGAAACTTGTTGCAGAACGATGAAAACACGCCATCAATTAGCACTTGTGTTATCTGCGGAGATGACGACAGAACTTGTTTACTGTGCAGGTGTATTGTGCGGAAGTTTTCAAACACAGTGTAATCCAAGTTATCTCTTCTGCAGCGGTTATTCATTTGATCTTGCTTATGCGTTTCAGTCGACCAATGGCCATCTGCAAGGGGCAACTATGGATGATATCCCAGTGACGGAGATCGATCTGTCGGTGCCTCTTCACATACCTGGTGAGGCTTGTACATCATCGTAGGCGTAGCTACAGGGGGGGGGGGGGGGGGGCAAGGTGGGAGTTGGCCTCTACACTGAAAAAAGTTAATGTGGATGAGTCCCCCCTTTCTTACGTTTTGCTGTTTCAGGCACAACGCACACAACATCAAACATACAATGAAAAACAGCACAGTGACATGTCATGGTACGCAGCCGCCGTCTGCCTGATGCCTTTGGCGAGTACTCTGCGCCACCCCGCGGCCTCAACTTGCGCTACACAAAGCTTTCCCATAGAGTTATGGTGCAGCTTCATGACCAGCAATAGTATTGAAGGACTTTGGTGTTGTATCTGTTTTCTGCACCCTTGTTCATTTCTCAGTAAATGAAAACATTTTTCTGGTTCATTCAGGTTCCGTTTAACGAGCATCTGCTGTAATAAATTCAGGCACTTGATTTAAATTTGGATGCTAGTACTTTCGCATCAAATTATTTAGTGCATTTGTGAACAGTTGATCATAATGCATGTTTCAAAGGGATATGCTAGGCTAGTTTCATAATCTGACTTATGGCATTAACCAGGCACAATAGGGAAGGGTGAGTTCCAGGTTTATTATTAATGCATTCTTTTCTTGGGGATAAGGAGAGAAACACAACCTCGTTGGTAAGACATGAAGTGATGTTTTTATGTGATCGGGATGTCGATAGAGACAGCAGTCAAGAAAAACTCTTGGTTTGGGGAAAGCTGCTCCTAAGAAATGAAAGGAGCTGTGTTCAAGCAATTCTAGCTGCACAGTGCTCAACTCGGCTGTCTGTAACGACGAAGCGTCATGCGCGGGCGACATCTGAGCATGCGCGACGCCAGTGATGTACCTGCCTCGCAATACTGATGCCTGTTTATCGCCGCGGATGCAACAACCGCTTTGGCCGTCGAAAGTGCTCTGAGCGATTTCACGAAAAAACAAAAAACAAGAAAGAAAGACAAAGTGAAACCGTTGTCGGTGTGATATATCACGAAGCGAGAATTTTTTTTTGCTGTTGTTTTATTTCGATTTTGTAATGTTGACAGTCCATCGACGGCCAAAGCGGCCATCGCAGCTGCAGAGATAAAGAAGGGTGGAAACTGCAAGGCAGGCACATCTTTGGCGCCGCGCATGCTCAGATGGGGCGCATTTGCAACTGCAGATGTCGCTCGTGCTGTTCCGCGCGCGACACTCGGTTGTTGTAGACAGCCGAGTTGAGCACTGTACATTGCATAGAGCCGACTGTAGAGTGAACACATGTGCAATGAGATTTGTCGAAATTTGTACTGTGGTCAATTATACTGTCTAGAACGATGCAGTGTAATTTGCTCTGTACTGCATGAGCTACAGTCGTAAATGTGCGGGGCCAACTACGAACCTGCTTTGCATTTTCAATCCTCGTATATCACTGTAGATGCAACAACTGCGTTTGCCATCAAAAGTGCCTTCAATGATTAAAAATAAATAAAAGAACCATTCGCGGTTTGCATGAGCCGAGAATAAATTCATGATCTGAAAGGCACCAATGTGAGTGATTTGAGTTTTTTTTACAGCGCTTTAGAGTTGACAATGCTTTGACAGCCAAACCAATCATCCTGTTCATGATAATAAACAAGAATGAAGACTACAAGGCAGGCACATCTTCGGCACCATGCATGCTCAGATATGGCCTGTTTTAAACTGCAGATGGCGCTTGAAATATTTGGAACGGGGTGTTCCATTGTTCTAGACTTGAGAGTTGACCACTGCACAAGCGGCATTGAACTGTCGTAGCCTTATCACCAATGCTCGCATAAGTTCTCAGATAAGCTTGACTAATAAATAAGCTTGACTACTGGCATCCTGTGTGCAGTCAAAGCAGAAGGGGCTCAAACAATCTTGAAGCTTCCCAAGCATTGCAGCGTTATCTGCGTCAAGAGTTAATAACGGCTTTTGTGAGTGAAACACGAATATGCATCAAAATCAGACAAATGTGCGTGCCGGTATTTAGTGCAAAGCGACACAAGGAAGTGAAGGGACGGCAGGACATGCAGTGTCCTCCCTTGTGGTCCTTGGGTTACTCAGCATCAAATATCACTTCTTGGGAATAAGAGGGGCAAAACAGGACTTACTCAAATCAGTGACAAAAAGACTTGTGACAACAAATGAACATAGAGAAGCGCTGGCGGTGCAGATCAACTGCATTGTTTTAGCAGTGAAAATAGTGTTCATGACTGCACTTGGTACTGTAAATAGGCAAGGCACTTGAAAAATGTACCTTCGTGGATGTTATTGGTGTCTGCACTTGGGCAAAAGTACAGCCCCTGGTGTCTTTGTGCCTATCCTGATTGTTTAAAAACATTGGTGGGTCAAGCCATGCACTCTGCTGGAGCATACCTTCATCATCTCTCGCTCTTTTTTTCTTTCCAGGTCTCATTTCATCAGACAAGTATCTCAGTGCAAGTCGCAAAGAGCAAGGCATGACACATGGCAGTGATGGAACCAAGAAGAAGAAGAAAAAGCTCAAGAAAAGTGAGTTATAAACAATATCATCGTTTTTAATGAAGGCCTCTCCAATGGGCCCGATCTCATCTGAGCTTATTCTATTTTATGCTATGCGATTTCAACACTCTCCTTACTCGCTACCATCTGCCAGCTATGTTTTTCTATCCCTTGGTAATAATTTTGTGACACTCGCTGTCCTTTGAGTTACGTTACCTCCCGTTTTTCCGTTTTTCGTCGTCTTTGATGGTTCATTTTTTAACAATGAAGTGCTTAAAAGCTCAAGGCAAAATGTCTAGTGTCCGCAGAAACCCTCCGTGTCATTGCTTATTACCATATTGACTCCCATAATCTTCCCCCTTTTTTTCACGGGAAGCTGAGGAAAAGTTGGGGGGTGTAAAAATCACACGAGGAAAATTTTCCGTGAAGATATACAGAGTGAAAACAAAACAAGGAAACCCTGAAGTGTCTGTAAAACAGGATTCTTATGCTAGCAACTAACCTCAAGCTACTGCTAATAATGACTTAAATATAAAACCGCAGGTTCAACACAAGGCAAGATTTACTTGAGACACACAAGCTGCAAGGAAAACCCAAAGCTTGCGGGTGAAGCGTTAGCGCTCGTTACTCAGCGAGAGCCCGAAAAAGGTTAGCGTATAACATCAACAGTGAACTAATTGCCATCTAACAAAAAATTGTCTGCAGATACCTTCTGAAGAAATAGTTTTGCCATCTCTGTCCCAGTCTTAGGCACACAGAAGGCGCCGCGCGTCGTGGCTTTCAGCTGCCTGTGCTGCTGTCCCCAGTAGTGGAGACAAAACTCAACTTCGGAGTGCCTACTGCCGGCCTCGTTGTTTAGTGCATGATCAATCGCTTTCAACTTGAAAGCAGCCATACACAACGTACACCAACGGGATACAACTTGAGCAATATGCCACTTTGGCTTGGCTTGGATTGGGCTTCCATGCATTGATAGTAGGCATAATGCTCAAGAGATCGCGTCACGCAGTCGCGTGCCATACGGTAATTGTTGTGGTGTACACGTATCCCGAAGGAGTACGGCCACCAGCGTGGGTCCGGTCTTAGTGAGCCGCAGGGCACGCGTTAACCGTAGCCGTGGTGAGAACACGATACTGCTCAAAGTCGCAACACTTTATTGTGGCAACACCAAACTCAGTACAGCCCGTTGCAAAGGCGCGGCGGGAATGCAAACTGGCTTATCCACGCCATGGGCATAAAAGTACTACACAGGGTGCCACGAGCGCGTCTCCGCGGTAAAGGTGATCCACGGAGACACCGGGACCCAGGCCCAGTTGCTCGAGCGAGGGCAAAGGCGCTCGCATTGGCTTCGGAGGGACATGGGTCGGCGTAGCCAGGCCACGCACTAGGACACCGTACCGCCCTCAGCCGTGCGTACGCAGTGGGGCTACAAAAGGTGAGCGTTCGCCTCGGGCGCGAGGCGCCGTCAGCGAAGTCCGACCAGCCCCCGAGCGACGGGAGTCGACGGACGAAAAAGATTGCGTGGCTCACCGTTTGCTGTCCCGGAGAGTATCTGACCGCTCCCGGCGGAGCGCGCGAAAACCTCTCAGGAGTCCCCGCCCGCGGCGCCACAGTCAACATCCGCTTCCGGGTGAGGGAGTTAAACGTCACTGCACTCTCCCACCACGGCAGACAGCAAAGGAGGGCAGACATGTCCGGACATGAGAACGGCAGAAAAGGCGGCAAAGCCCGTGCAAAGGCAGCGGGCTAGCCTCAATTCCCACACTGTATATGCTTCCTATGGGACAAGAGTAGCGCATAGAGCTTCAATTCCCACACTGTATATGCTTCCTATGGGACAAGAGTAGCGCATAGATTCGCCATCTTGCCTGGCTAGCAACCAGCTATGCGGCGAAGTCACCCTCTGTTTTTGCAGGTGGCACCCCTGCCGTGTGTGTGTGTTTTTTTTTTTTTGTCGTGTTGCATATTGACATACTTGTTTGTGTCCTTCACGCACTGTTTGCAGTGCTTGAAGGCCGCTTTTTTGCCTGATTGCCAAAAAAGTGCAAAGTAAGAGCTGACTAAATAGCGTGGTAAAAAAAAAGCGTTGTTCTTGCTTAGCGTGTGGGGAAAAGAGCAGAGCGAACATTATCAACTTCTTTTGTCTTGGGGCGTTCACATTTTGGAAATTTTCAGAATTTTTTTTCCGGATAACGAGCGGGAAAATTCAGCATTCTCGTTACGCTGGTGAAATGCGACATTCCTTGACCTTGACAGTACATGAAATTACCCGATTAGTCTTTGTGAATACAACTCAACGAAGAGGTATGACATAGGCTTTTGAAGTGCATAAGAGCATAATGGTGCACTCTTTGCACAATTCGCGTTGTGTGACGTACGGTTGTTATTTCACTGTTCTAAAACAAATTATTTCACATGTAAATGCAAATTCTTACCCAATATGCAGCCTACATAAAGTCAGTTGAGTTCAGCTCCAAGTTTTAGCGTAGCTTTGCGGTAGAGTATTGGACTGCCGCTGAAAAAGCTCAAGTTCGATTCTCACTAGCGACATCTTTTTTTTTTTTTACGTAAGTTTTTCTCTTTTTTTTTTTCCATGCGATAGCGATCATGGACACCGGCGGCGGTGAACATCTACGGCGCCGGAATCGGCCCTTGTGATCTCAAAAGCTTACGCTGTAAAATTCAGCGAATTCGACAACCACGCTCTTTACTTACGTCAGTGGCGAATAAATATATTTTCTTTTCCTAAAGATAGGTAATCAGGCTTCGTTTGAACAGATATGAATCCGCAACAAAGAATGGTGCAGTTTACTTTCAGCATGTACATTATAAACGAAGGAGCACTCAGCAGCTGGTAAAACTCGTAGAACATCTTACCATTTTACTCAGTCATTGTAACATTTCGATGGCTGTAATGTTAGAACTGCAGACCTGGCGCGCACATAGAGCTGATCCACAGTCACCTGCACGCATTCATGAACCGCATTCAGAAAAGGCGTGAAGACCAGCCGGATTTGCTTTGAACTTGACTGGTGATGATTCGCGCCAATGCCCCGGCGGCGTCGGAACACACAAAATTGGCCCGAGCGTCAGCTTCTCTGCAATGCATGATTGTTGGTGGCGCCGGCGGCATTGGAAAGCAGTTGTGCTGCGCTGGTCTCGTAGGGACCATATACAGTTACTCTAGTATGCCATCATGATCAGTGGTTGGAAGGTGCAAACGACACTACGGCTGCAATTTTCGGAGGTGCAATAGTTACTCGCAAAAAAAATATCGTGTTTCGGTTCGGCAATGAAGGGGATGCGAGAATTATGTGAGTACGAAGATTACGCGAGTAAATACGGTAGCTGCACCTACCGACAGAGACATTCCGTGCATCTGCCACGATGAGTTTCCGAGCATGACGCGAGCGGAGTACGAGCGATGAATGACACGCACTTCTACAGTAGGGGTGCCATAGCCAGCTTTGCATCCTCTTAACCTTTCCTTTCACACCATGCGCAACAGCGTCGATGGTGGACTCCTGTTTGCTCAAGATCGTGGACAGTCTACTCGTCGACATGTCAGTCTCTTGCCACTTTGCTTTGCTTTGTTCCCGCCTCAACGGCTTTTATCATAGCCACGTTCTGATCTAGCATTATACGTTTTCGCTTCTCGCCTAGCCCATTCATGTTGCTGGAATTACGAGCACAGCATGATCAAGATAAGGCAGAAGCACTAAAAAAAAATATGTGCACGCAAGAACAACGCAGCTAACGTCGGCGAGTGATAACACTTGCAGTGGTTGCAGGCAGGCGTGCCATGGCCATGTTTACTGAGGGGCAGTGGGGAAGTTGCGAGTGGGCTCGCCGGCGCAGAGAGAGAGATATTAGAGTGAAAAGGGTTTTCTTCACTGCAGCCTATTAGGGAGCACTACTCAGTGCCGTGAAGAAGGGGAGAGGAAGAATATAAAGAAAACACAAATGAAAGAAACGAAATGGGCGAGACGTTTGCGGAGTTGTGGAGTCCTCGGCTGTCGGAAGTAGCCAAGCGGCGAACGTGCCATGCCCGTGCAACACCCTCTCCTCCAGAAACATCATGTGCTTGGCACGCCTCAGCTCTGCGCGCATTGCTGGAAGATGCATGGCGGGAGTTTCGAACTGCTGAAGTTGCCGCGTTGCACACCATCTTGAATTCGCGTTTTGCACTGTTGTGACTTCGGCTTAGAATTTAATTTCCTAACAAGATTTGTTGGTTTATTCGTTATATCCCATAGCTGGCAAATTTTACCTCGTTAAATTGAGGTTTTGAATACATTGGTTTCTATGGAGACTTTCAGGAGGAATCACGATTTGCTCGTTATATTCATTATATTGTTATAACCCATCTCGCTATAACATGGTTTAAATGTATATCAAATAGTCTATAAAAAAAAAGACCCAAGACCCAGACTGTTGTGTGTTAATTGTATCGTTTTCTGCGGAGTTTGACGCTCGTTCTGGGTTGCTCTTTCGAAATTCCCGCGCCGACCTTACAGCCACGCCATGTGCGGCCGAGTGAGCCGTCGTCTTCACGCAGCCAGTAGAGAGGATTGAGGAAGCGTTCAGCGGGTCACATGACCAAGAAGCAGTGCCGCAGTGTAAAGCGATTTTTCTTTCACTTAAGAACACACGATGGGAAAGCCTCAGAAGACATACATTTACTCACAAATCAGAAGACATCTGTCATTAATAGAAGTAATCGGTGATGCGTGTCTGTATGCGCTTGCCTTGCGGCAAGTCAATCAATTTCACACACTTTTCAAGGCATAGTAGCGCGCGGCTAAGTGCAGCACCAACACTCTGGAGGACAGCAACGACTGCGTCTCCGCTGCTACTCTCTGCGCTGAGAAAGAAGCATCTACACGTCGAGAGAAGCAGATCGGCATTAGAGAAGGAGCCACTCTCCGCGACAGCTTTCTTTTTTTTCTCTCTCTCTCTCTCTCCGCGCGCGGCCTTGAAAGGAGAAGGTTCTCTTCGTGCAGAGACGGAAAAAGGAGAAGCGTGGCACAGGCGCGTTGGAGATCGGCATTCGAGAAAAAACAAACAATTTGGCACAGTATTTTCTTTCCTTTTTTTCTTTTCCTTCTTCGCGGGCAGCGTTGAGAGGTGCCGTCGTGGGATTCGGCATGGTGCTGAGAGAATTTAGCATTTTCGGGGCGCAGTATGTTCGAATTAATCATCGCAAGTGCTTGCACGTTAAAATTACAGGGCGTTTTCGCCCATTGGAATACACAGAGCTTTGATGGGACCACAGCGTGAGTTTGAATTAACCGGAAGTTCAAATTAAGCGTGTTCGAATTAAGAAGATTCGACTGTGTTTATTTTCCATTGTATGCATCGTCGCGTAGCAGTGCATCGGGTCGTGAGGCGGTCTCTTGCTTTGCCTGCTTATAGGTGTGCGCCCATCGGAGCATACATTGCCACAAACTGTTATACTCGATATAACGAAATATTGAATTAGACTAAATAATTGTGGCTCCCCTTAAACTTTGTTATAACGTGCTTTGAGTGCAATTGCAGTGTGCATGCACTATACAGATGCAATAAAAATTAGTAAAGTAAAAAATTTTCAATGTTGCGTGCCGCTTTTAGTCTTTGAAAATCCTGTGACTGGTCCTGTAAAGTGCTTGAATTCTCACTTTGGAAACCTGTACAAACCCTGTATAGGAAATGTTATCGGTAGTAATTGTTATTTGAAATGCAAAGAAAAGTGGATATTACTTGCTGCTGGCATGGACTGTAGCTGTAGCCTTCAAATAATGCAGGTGCTATTAGCCCCTGTAAAGTCGTCCGAATGCGGTCCGCCGCTCCGGGTGTGCCCCGTTGCTTGCGCGAAGTGCCGCAGGACTCTGGCGCGAGCTCGTCAGACCGTGGTACAAAGGGTTTCAGGTCTGCGATATGGGCACGGCTGAGTTTTCCCGTATGGAGATCTTTCAGCAGGTACGCGAGTGGAGTGCAAGCTTTCTCCACTCGCCCCGCCGCGGTGGTCTAGTGGCTAAGGTACTCGGCTGCTGACCCGCAGGGCGCGGGTTCGAATCCCGGCTGCGGCGGCTGCATTTCCGATGGAGGCGGAAATGTTGTAGGCCAGTGTGCTCAGATTTGGGTGCACGTTAAAGAACCCCAGGTGGTCTAAATTTCCGGAGCTCTCCACTACGGCGTCTCTCATAATCATATAGTGGTTTTGGGACGTTAAACTCCACATATCAATCAAAGTCGTTTGGGCCTCGTGGCATACACGTCTCGTGGTTAGGGTTCATTCAGGTTTAAAACCGCCAAGTGGGAGGTAGCTCAGTGCTCGCACGGGTTCACCATTATTACTGTTAGTACAGTAGCGCCGGCAATGACACCTGGTGGCAAGGCTAGGTGGGCACACTGAAAGCATCAGAAAGTCTCTTTGGCGTTTGGTGGCTGGTGTGGTTGGTTGTCTCCCGACAGGTGTCTGGGATATGGCAACCGCGGGTTATGTCCTGTGAGTCCCTCGCGGCGAGTCGAACATCGGTGGCGATGCCTTCGTGTTGCTTTCGATGTTTTATGTTGATTGAGTGCATTGGCATGTGGTGTAAGAAATTTGTAGCGTGTCATTAGTGGTGTATTTGATTCAGCTGGCGATATCGTCGTTGGTAAAAGTAGTTGAATGTGCAATGTTCGCTTTGGTTTGACTGTGTCTACTGTGTCTGTTCGTTCTGAGGGCTCACCTCATTAGAGACCTATACAAGCTACAGCAGCGGTCATCTCCCAGTCCACTTTATGCTGCATAAAAGTTCATTGAAACTTGGAAGTGTCGGTCTGCACCGCCAATAATAGCCTTGGTGGCAAATGTGAAGCAAGCACTTTTTTTTTTGCCTGTTGGCGTTGCTTAGCACGTGACACTTGCCGTCCCTGTGTCATGAGTAAGAGGGCACAAGGCATGTGCTGGGCGCTGGAATACGGCGCAAGTGCGTGGACCCTGATAGTGGTTCACGTATGAGATAGGTCGAAAAAAGGCTCGTGGCGCGTGACCCGAGCTGTAATGAGAAATCCCGGAGGATGCGCTGGCACTGAGCTGTGGATCTTTGAACTTCGGGAAGATCAGCGTTGCTACAGCGACAGAAGCAGTAGAGCCTCTCGATTCGGAAGTATGTCAATTTAAAAGGCCAGGAAGTGGCCGTTGACCTCAAAGGTCCCGAGTGAGGCAGCCCGGACTTGCCGCAACCTTGCACAGCAGTTCTTGCGGGGACTACAGCTCTTCCACGTCGAGCCAAAACGAATGTGGCCCACACCAGTCATCAGAGTGCATCGTCAACGAGGGCATGGACGAGTTGGGTTTGAGCAAGCGGGCCGAAGATGATGAATAAGACCAGTAAACCGGCACTCAAGGTGAGTGGATCGTCAAACGGACCTGTGCTGATGATGATGACGGCAAGACGGTACCACTTCGTGGTAGTTCTGAAGGTGGCATCTGAATAGTAAGAATGATCTGGTAATGCAAGAGCACACGACAGTAGACACCGAGACGCCATCTTGGCTAGAGAGAGAGATTAGGGTTAAGGATTGAACTTGTCTTGGATCGAAGCTAGTTGTGGTTTTGCTGTACAGCCGATTGTGTGCATGTCTCTTTTTGGGGGTGAATTTTAAGTGTCAAAGTGTTTATCATTTTGTCTAATATTAAAATTGGTTTGCCGTGTTACCGCCGACTCGCGTCTCTCTCTCAACTCCATTCTCTGCAAGCACTCCCAGGGTAAATTTGTGACACCCTGCCAGTGGAAGGTTATCTTTTCACTCATTTTTCTTTCTTCAGTTTTACATTACAGTTGCTACATACCCTATAATTTCCTTGGCATGATTGTCTCTTGGTTCAAATTATTGACTTTAATAGATGCACTGCTTCTAGGAATATCTCTTGGCATATGCAGGCAAGGATCGGCTGAAAAAACCACTTGCCTCCGAGTCCGAGGAGGAGTTACCTGCACCACTTGGTGTAGTCAACACTTCCGCTGAGATGCCCGAAGGTGCGCGGCTTACGGACAACGACGACGAGGAGCGCAACGCTGATGACCCACATCGTGCTTTGGACATTGACCTCGAAGAGTGAGACAGCTTTTGCAATTTTATAGAACCCTTGCTGCTGCATTCAGCAGTGTTGCCATTGCTGCTGGTAGTAATAGACGTTAAAAAGTAACTGATACACATGCAAAAATAAGAGTTAAAATTTTTTTTAAATGGGATCGAATAGAATTTGAACTGAACCCATCGCTCTTTGCGTGGCAGTCCAGGGTTCAACTACAGTTGTTGATCGGAAGTCTTTCGCAAAAAGACTCTATACACGAGGCATCGTGTCTGGCAAGGAATCGCATTGATTTATGTAGTATAGCGTGGCAGAAGCATAAAGCAATGGCCATTCATCGCACAATGCAAATTGTACTCGGGCATAATTCGTCATCGTCTTCAGCCCCATGCAGTTACCTCGCTTATATGCACTGAGACAAATACTAAAGCAGTGGGTGCTGTTCTATTCAACAAACATAAGGATTCATGCAATAGTGGATACCTTGCTGGTGGCCAAAACTTCAAAAATAGTTGACCTTGCCATGGAGTTGCACTCAGAATTCGCATAGCAGTATCCTAATCACGGAGAGCAATGCAGCCAACGTGAAATTAATTTGTGCTTAACATAACAGTTGGCCTTTATTGGCAGCTCTGGTAAAGTGTAATCCCATCCTGCAGTTTTTTATGTAGTTGTCCAAAATTATCCAGATACTGTGCAGAACTATCGGGCCACTAATGTGGGTCACTCTTTTGAGAAAAAAAAAGGCCATCATTATGTGAGCGAATATGGCATGTGGTTCCAAACAAAAGGCCTTCAATACAGCCCCAGTAAAAGAAAAATTAAAGAAAAGCTTAGTTCTAAAGATATGTATGTGACTTCGAACATGCAAATCTTCACATGCAGAAGACAAGCACAGGATTGGCTTATCTTTTTCTTTTACTTTTCTTGACACCATTTCATGTAGTCAGTCAATGATTATGTAGCTCGTAATAGACAACTCTTGAACATGATAAAACTTTTTAAAGGGGCCATGACACGATCACCCATGAATTTGTGGTTTTCAGCAAGTAATAGAAGTACAGGGTCCATTATGCTCATACATATATGAAATGTACACTGTGTGGGAATTGAGGCTAGCCCGCTGCCTTTGCGCGGGCTTTGCCGCCTTTTCTGCCGTTCTCATGTCCCGACATGTCTGCCCTCCTTTGTTGTCTGCCGCGCTGAGAGAGCGGAGTGACGTTTAACTCCCTCACCCGGTAGCGGATGTTGACTGTGGCGCCGCGCGCGGGGACTCTCGAGAGGTTTTCGCGCTCTGTGTCGGGAGCGGGCAGACAGTACTCTCCGGGACAGCAAACGGTACGCCACGCAATCTTTTCCGTCCGTCGGCTCCCGTCGCTCGGGGCTCGTCGGACTCCGCTGACGGCGCCTCGCTCCCGATGCGAACGCTCACCTTTTGTTGCCCCGCTGCGTACGCACGGCCGGAGGGCGGTACTGTGTCCTAGTGCGTGGCCTAGCTACGCCGACCCGTCTCCCTCCGAAGCCAACGCGAGCGCCTTTGCCCTCGCTCGAGCAACCGGGCGGGCCTTGGTCCCGGTGTCTCCGTGGATCACCTTTACCGCGGAGACGTGCTCGTGGCACCCTGTGTAGTACTTTGTGCCCGTGGCGTGGATAAGCCAGTTTGCATTCCCGCCGCGCCTTTGCAACGGGCTGTACTGCGTTTGGTGTTGCCACAATAAAGGGTTGCGACTTTGAGCAGTATCGTGTTCTCGCCACGGCGACGATTAACGTGTGCCCTGCGGCCCACGCTGGTGGCCGTACTCCTTCGGGATACGTGTACGCCACAACTGTACAAGAATATTATAGTGCAAAAAATGTCTTAGATGTCACTGGCTATAAACCCTGCCCACTGTTGGAAATTGCCATTTTGCCATGGCGTTAGTGACGTCATGGCAATGAGGAGAGGTGCCGTCGTCTACCAAAGTTTGTCTCTGCTAATCGTTTAATTTCAGTGCTAAGCTGAAGGAAGCTAAGCTATCTCAATCTCATGTGCAGCTGACCACAGAATAACATCATTCGCCGAAATAAAGCCGCTCGCACAGCTAGTTGCTCGTTGCGTCATGGCTCACGAGTGCACCAGTTTTGCCCGATTCTCAGGTCGTGCATATGTTTGGAAAGAAACATTTGGTTATAAATTATGTGCTTGTCCAAATGCGCTCAATTTTTGCCAGATTATTTTTGAATGCACAAGGATTAACCCACGTTGCACAGCTTGTGGTTGGAATTTGAGTGTCAGCATCATCATCATCCCGTCTCCAAGTGGGGGGGGTAAAGGCCTCTTCCGTGTTCCACCAATCAACCCGGTTTTGTGCTTTTTGTTGCCACACTATACCTTCGTCTCCCCACCTAGTCTTCGGTCTCTTCTCACTCGTTTGTCTTCTCTAAAAATTCAGTCAGTTGTCCTTAATGATCAGGAATCATCCTGTGTACGCGCTACCTGCATAACCCGTGTCCATTTCGTCGCCATTTCAATTGCGGTATCCATAACCCCGGTTTGTTCCCTGACCAACCTGTCTCCTAAGGCTACACCTATCATTTTTATTTCTATCGCTTTCTGCGTCGTCCTCAATGTAAGCTGAACCCTCTGTGTTAGCCATTTTTTTTCTTTTTCTGCTCTGTAGGTAAGTGCTGGCAAGATGCAGCTGTTATATATACCTTCCTCTTGAATATTAGTGGTACATTACCATTCATGATATGAGAATGCTAGTCGAATGTGCCCCACCCCATCCTTATTCTTCTAGTTATTTCACTCTCATGATTTGGCTCTTCAGTTCTACCTGTCCTAAGGAATGTATTCCTTTACAACTTCCAGTGTTTCACACCCTATAGCAAAGTGCTTTTCTATGCACATTACTTTAGTTTTATGCATACACTCAACTTCAGTATAACCTAATATCAGTTTTAACAAAGTAAATGAAAATAGTCTTGCAATATATATAGTGTTAAGAGTAAACCTTTATAACGAATTTATGGCTATAACAAACTTATTTTCGTGTAAGATACAACTTTATTAAGATGAGGGTTGAGTGTAATCATTTTCAGACCTATTCTTCCATGTCCTGTTCAGTCATTGTGAGCTGTAATTTGTCCCCCGAGTTACTCATCAAGACGTCATCAGCGAATTGCAGGTTACTATAGTCGGTGACAACCTAAAAATAAATACAAGCTCTGCCCACAAGGCCACATTGCCCTTATTTTTCATGCCCCCACGCTTCAAAAGAAGTAGTTCCCAAACAAGGGCAATAATTTTCCTGCATACAACCATTATCTTGCAATCCTTCATTGATATTGAGATAAAGAAACCAAACCTCAATAAGAAACTTGTGAGGGCACCAAGTTCAGCATCAGCTTAGCAATATATCTGTTTTTCAAATTTCACCCCCTACCCGCGCTCATCTCGAAGACGACGTTACCTATAGTGGTACTAAAATAAACATGCCACAGTTATAGTGAAGTTTAAAAGAAATGAATTTTCGTTTTGCGCTTCGAAAAACAGCATAGGGGCATAAATCAAGTTTTATAAGGTCGTTTGCAATTTTAATGTTGTTTTACGAAACTTTCGCTACTAGGTATCTTCGCTATCTGCTATAACTATGGCATCTATAAATGAAAGCAAAGAATGGAGAACTGATCTGAGATTCACTTCGTGAATTTTGGTTCTTGCGCTGCCATGAATACTAAATGTGCATCTCGCGTTTCAGTGCTTGTCATCGTGTTTCAGGTGAATGCCAATGTTTAATTTGACATCTTCTTTTAATGAATAAAGGCACGTAGCCCACATTGTGTTTAAACAAGAAAGTCGTTGCATACGTTCTCGTTATGTTAATGCCAAGGCAATGTACGCGGGTAAATGGCGGTGACCAAAAGCTGTAGGTGAATTATTATATTCTTGGTTTGACAACTTGTACTCGATTGTTTGCCATGACCCCCGTCGAGTGTTTGACAACCGCATGCTGGAGAACACGCAAGAGAAAGAACACGCCCATGTCGTCTGCTACGGCGCTCATTGGCTACCACCGCTGCAAACGTCATTTCCACTAAATTGCCTGACGGGCCTCGTCTGTTCTCGCCGCGGGCGCGCTCGCGGGTGAGGAGTGGGTGATCCGACTGCTTTGGCACTACGATGATCCGACTCGTGGCACTACGATGAGTAGTAGACAGACAAGACTTACGCGTTCGAGCGAGACATGCGGCCATGGCCACGTGGTTCCTTAGCATGGGGAGCTCCTTTTTTCGCTACTCGTGTTTGGCTCATGCCTAAGTTTTAACCCCCCATAGTTGTAGTTTTAATCCCCATTCTAATGACCGCATCTAACGGCCATGCGCAGCTGTTCATGTTTTTGAGCAGTTTCCAGTACTTGCTTGTACTTGCGAGTTTTAAACAGATTGGTATGACTGTCTAAATCCAACATTTTGTAATGTAATACCCACCAGCCCAGTTCAGTTCGATAATGCAGGTGAACTTTTTTTATTCTGTTTCTGAAAACACTGTTTAAGTTCAAGTCAATATATGTCACGTTTAATAAAAACAATTATGGAAGAGCTATATTGCAAATATATCGCATTAGCAGGTCCCAGAGTTCAGAAAAACTGCTGGAGCCTATTCTGAATATGTATGCTGCCTGACTCAATCCATTTACATGAAGGCAACAAGAGGACCCACAACGAAGGCTTACTGTGGAAGCGTGGAAATAAAAGTGAGTTGGTTGCAATGAAAATAAAAAAAAATTGCTGAGACAGGAGGGACCCGATGACATTGTTCACAGAATTTTTTACTTTCTCTGTCCACTAGTACTTGCTTACTTATAATAAAACACCTGATCCTCTATGAAGCGTGCAACCACATGGGTAACACTCTAAAGTTAAAAATTACTAATGCCTTACTTTATTTGTGCGCATTAAATTTCTATTCCCTCCTGCAATGTCTTCAGGCCTGGAAGTAATACGAATAAAACATCTGCATGAACAAACATACTCTTGCAGAAATTTATTGAAAACTAAAGTCACCGTTAATTGTCATTCAGTATTTTTTTGCACCATCTGCCTGTGATGTATCTTTTTTTCTATTCGTCATTGTAGTAAGCTGCTCAGTGGTAACCATCACAGTGATACAGTGGGAAACCAAGCACATGTTATCAAATCTGGTTTTTGTTTTGCACTGCAAACTACCCCATATCTCGCTGATTTTGCTTCAAATATTACCCACGATTACCTGGCAAGTAATACACCTGCAGTATTTTGGAGAGTGACTGCTGCACAAAGTCCACAAACTGCGGCAGGCATCACGAACTGACACTGCAATGTCAAGTAACTAGGCAGTTTATTTTAAAACAGGGACAGTTGATTGAACAACTGTTTCATGTTTTGGCGCCGCTCTCCGCTGCAGGTAAAAAACTGACTGGGGGTGTATTATGAGCACTTGATAGTTTAAGCTCGAAATTACTAACGATATGCATTGATCGTGTAGGCAAAAACGTCGGAAGCTTCAAAATTGCTCTAACATGAACGGTGATGTACGGCCGCACCTACAACAGCTTAATAAGCCGACCGGATTAAAACTTGACATGCGTTTAAGGGCCGTCCGCGAACATGCTGCGGGATCTACGGCAAAAAGTGAGCTCTGATGCTAACGACTCTGTGGCAAACAATACATCTTGTGTGCAGTCTGTCTGCGCAATTTGCCCGAGGACTGTTTACTTTACGGTATCAGTAGTTCGGAAACAACCCAAAAGCAATCCGATCACAAAACACACCACACACACAGATACTTTCAGTACCCGGCGCTACCGGCGAGTCCGCAGCGGCCTTGGCTTGCTGGCGCGATAACGCAAAAAACAGCAAAAATTCATACTGAACGCGGAAATGACGTTCGGGTAGCCGCTGCCGACGAGCGCCGTAGCAGACTACATGGGGCATCTACCCCCTCTCTCGCACGTTCTCCAGCATACAGTTGTCAAACACGCGACCCCGTCAGCCCTTGAATATTCAACGTTTTTAAAATGCGATCCAGTTTTTGCTGGAGCAGGGCCGCTACCCTCTTATGAATGTGTTAGTGTGAAGGTGTGTCTGTGCTGGCAAGAGGGTTTTCTCTCTCCAGTGAGTGGAAGTGAATTGCGTGCCAGACTTTGCTTTCACATGGGAGTGCAATGCATCCTTCATGTTTTTTTGTTTTTTTTTACGGCACTCTAGCTCAATATAAACAGGTTATCACTAAGTAATACATGCCACAATACAGCAAAATGCAAAAACAACACCTTAGACAAAACTAAGACTTCTTAATAAGATTCATTAAGTATCGTACAACGCCTTTAAAAAACAAGAATCTTTTTTTTTTCACGCAATATTAGTTTTAGCGGTGTTGCCTCAGTAACAATCACGATCGATGCAACTGATCGTAATTGATCGTTATTGCAGCAACAATCGCGATAGATGCAGCGATAATAAATAGCATGCATCATTTCGCGGTTTGAAGAACCTTGCCCGATGCTTTTTATGCAAGGCTTTCGTCGCATCGAGCATGGGACAAGCGCTTGCGCAACGGGCATTTCAATGTGGCACATAATGAATGACACGCCCACCGGATGACCATAATTCACTTTATAATGCATAGGATATTGCATATTCTCCCCACCAGGTTTGTTTACCTTCGTACTGTGTCGCGTAGCAGGTTCTGTTGAACGCTTTTCTCTCGCGTCTTGTCCGCACTCACATCACTCATATAGGCACACAGCACAGTGCCTATCGCAGATCACCAAAGTTTCCACGTTACGACACCCAAGTAAAACACTCGCACACGCACATGTGGCAACGCTGATGCCATGGCTTTTGTGGGCGATAAATCACAGATGCTCACATTCCACAAAATACGCGCCAATTTAGACTTCACTTTCACTTTACTGCACACGAATGACCACAACGAGAATCGTCGGAAGCGGTCACCTTTAGGCGATATGCTTGGTGCGTCTGAGCGACTGATGAAGTAGAGGCCGAGTTGCTGCTTCACGTTGCCGAAACGACGGAATGCGATGAATCTCTGCTGCTTCGGTGCACTTCAACGACGTCACCATCGAATGACGACCAGCGAGGATGATGCTGAGTGCGAGTCAATGAAATGGCTTCTTAATGAAGAACACATCACTGGAAAGCCAAATGGACGCCTCTTGGTCCTGGTGCAGCGACTCATCGCCTCTCGTCGAGAATGGCACCATGCTGAACTTGTCATTTGTTCATCATGATTGTTACGTCATAGCAAAGAGCAGCCGCAGTTGGACGCGCATACTACAAATGGACTCCGGTACACTTTACTTTTTATTCTTAGCTTATCACCGACTATAATATATTCTTCATTAACTCTTATTCCTAACTCTTCCCAATCTAGGGCCCTAAAAAATTTCTGTAAACACGTGATGAACCGCATTCTTTATGGAGGACTATGGTGGCTGTGTGGACACCAATTCGGGCATCATGTCCTCTTCAAAAGGAAACAGCAAATGTTTTGAAGCAGTCATGCCTATCTTTTGGATGTGGAGATAGCTGTGCCAATGTGCAGGCCCCTGCAAGAGGAGGAGAGGCTGCCAACGCAGGCACACCATGACGACTTGTTGGCGGAGTCGTTGCAGCGGAACCAAAAAGGAGGGCGTCGTCCCGAAAGCACAAGGTGAGTCTAATAGACAGCTTTAACGCAAACACTCTGAGGTCGGTCTGCAATCAGAGTCGCGAGATGCTACGGAGCTAAATCCATGTAAATAGAAGGCCAAATGAAGTGGGAAATTAATTAATTTTTACATTCCTGAAAATATGTTTATGATAACAAAAAGCATTACTTAAATATGAAGGGAAATTGAGAGATCTTTTTGTATATCAATATATCGACAACAGGAATGAAAGCAAATATTTAGTTTCAACCGTGGTCTCCTGTGTAGTTTCAATTCGGTTGAGTACACGTTTGCCAGTGCATGGTTAGCGTTACTTGTTGATTCCCCCAACGTATGTTTGAGCTCAACAAATTCCGACTGCGACAGGCTGCATATTCAATTTAGGTGAAAATGCTTGAGGCTCGTGTATTTAGGCTTGTGTTAAGAACCCCAGGTGGCCAAAATTTTCGTAATGCTCCTTTATGACATCTCTCATTATCATATGGTAGCTTATTGGTGTTAAACTCCAACAGTTAAAAACATTTAAAATTTTTATGTTTGTCTTCAACATTAAACTGCTCAGTTGCCTACAAATGTGCTACTAGTTTACCTAATGATCAGTTAAATCAATGTATTTGCTGTATAAATAGAAGTAAGCCCGAAAAAGGTGAGAAGTGCCTGGAAAGTTCCACAAGCGACTTGGCCAAAAAAGAAAGTCAAATCTGCTTACTATAAACAAAACTGGTAACTCTGGTCTGGCTGGCTGAAATAATGCTAGATGCTGAACAGCAGAAGTTCTTGCGGGAGAACGGCTTGTGTATCGGGTCTTGTCTGGTTTTGGCACCTCCGGGATAAATTTCTGGCTTCCCTTGGCGATATCACTTCTCTGCTTTCCTGTTTTAAAGTGGTAAGGCATGCTGGTTTGTTGACCTTGTGCTCTGTGATTCTAAAAGAGATTGTGTGAATGGTGGTGGTTGTGATGCTTTCAAGGGTAGTAATTGTCCTAAATTGTCATCTGTGACTCATGAAACACTAACAAATGATTTCATTAGATTTTCAGACCTTTGAATGCATTTTTCAGGCATCGTTAAAGACGGGTGTGCGCCATCTCCTCTGTCTGCCACTGGTTCGTTAAAAACGAGGAAGGCAGCAGTTAATCCAAAAGGGGCCACACACATACACGTTTGGCTTTAAAAAAAGAGAAAGCACCGTTTGACCCAACCAATGGCATGTGCATTACCATAGTCACATCGCTGTGGCACAATACCTTGAGGAGTAGTGATGCAGCATGCCTGAAAGACGTGCAAAACACAAATACCAAACAAGGCCAGCTGTTTTATCGATGTTCATGAAGAAAAGCCAGTTTTATTGAGAATCCAACAAAATATTGCTGTATTGTTTGGCATAAGTGAAAATTTGCTGCCCATTGAGTTGTTTGTTTTGTTTGTCCATTCTTCTTTTGGGTGTACTGTTGAACCCGTTTCTCAAGTGGCACAAGTATTTTGTTGTTGTAATTGATAATTGCTATAGATGGGTTCCATAAGAAAAGAAGTAAAATTGGGGGATGGCAGGCTGTTGTAAGAAAACTATAATATCAGGTGCAACATACCAGCAGATTAAGTGACAAGAATGACAATGTTGCTGATTTTTCAGACATATTTGAAAATTTGGACTCTTTCATGGGCTGTTGCATGCCCCATAGCAGAGCCAGTGTATAAGAATGGCTCAAGTATTGGATGCTGAAATTCTTAAAAGCCTCAACTTTTTACCTAAACTGCATGATTTAATAGAATGTACCGCCGCTGCCAGGCTGTTACGGATTTCAAAAATCAACGTCTGCTACAACGCCACTACACTCTGCACATATCTGAAGGGGCACGGGGGTACTTTGGGTTTGTGGTCGGAGCATGAGCAGCCTGAATTTTCCATTTTCTTCTTTCTTTTCACTGATTCTGCGTTTCATTTCATTAGCTTTTTTTAGATATCAACAGCCTGAATTCATTGTTATGACCGCTAATGCTGCATAGCAGCCATTTTTGTAAGGGAGTTATTCCACCATAAAAACCTACAAGTGCTCACTCTGCAGCAGTTTCCCAGTGTTACAAACGATATATTGTTACCACATTTAGTCGCATAATCCTCACACTTTTTTTTGCCAAAAACCACTGAAAAGTTGGGTTAGGTGGGGGTGATAATTATGCGGGCACAATTTCCTATGAAAACGTACAGACTGAAAAGAAAAAATAAATAGGTCGCAAATCGGGTTTTCTCATGCCAGCATTTAACTACAAATTTTGAAAAGTACTAATCGAGACTTAACAATACCACAAGTTGAACATAAGGCAAGATTTATTTGATACACAAAAGCTGTAAGGTAAGGAGTTTCCAAATAGCATGCACTATGCTTGGGGGGAGTTGTGGGTGTACCGTTTGCGTGTGGGCGCGATATTAGTTTTCGAATAGTTTGGCCCCCATGGGTCGTGATGTTCTCCAATCTCCTCGCAAGGCCCACTAAGGGGCTTCGCGAGCCTTGTGGGCCACATGCTCTTTTGGATTTTGTTCGGGCAGACCACAAGGGCTAAGCGCAGTTAGCATTTTGACTCATGTGCAGTTGCAGCTGCTCGTGGTGGCGCCGCTGCGATGGTCTAGTGGCTAGGGCACTCGGCTGCTGACCCGCAGGTAGCAGGATCGAATCCCATCTGCGGCGGCTTGATTTTCGATGGAGGGGAAAGTGCTGTAGGTCCGTGTGCTAAGATTCGGGTGCACGTTAAAGAACCTCAAGTGGTCGAAATTTTCGGAGCACTTCACTACGGTGTCTCTCATAATCATATGGTGGTTTTGGAATGTTGAAACCCACATATCAATCAATCAAATCTTGGGCACGCATTTAGAGCCTGTTGTATTGTTCTTTTTATATTAAAATGCAACGTGACTGACTAGAGAATAACACCAAACATAAAATTGCATAATTTTCTTTGTTAGGATGTATGTAATATTGAGTACCTTGGATTTATGCTTTGTGAATTTGATACATAGAGAATGCATCTTAATCACAGCTGGAAAGGGATATTTGGTGGCAAAATGCAAATACGTGCCCCAAAAAATGCAACAAGTGGTTGCAAGTTTTTACTAGCAACTTCATCAAAAAAGAAGCCCAAATCAGCTCGTTATAAGCAGATCTGGTAACTCCATTTGTATGAACAGGCATTGCACCCACTTCCAGTGGTCTAGTGGGCAAGTCGCACCCAGCTGCAGCGGTTACATTTTTGATGAAGGCGAGAATGCTCAAGGCCTGCATGCTTATATCTAGGTGCACTTTAAAGCGCCCCAGGTGGTCGGAATTTCTGAAGCTCTCCACTGTGGTATCTCTTATAATCATGTTGTTGTTTCGGGACGTAATAACATAATTAATCGAGTCCGAAGTGCCTAAGGCGGCCCTGTTGCTGTTGTTTAATGTGGGGGGGATGCCTAACACCTCCTATAAAGTAGTTTGTGCCCCGTGGTGTACGTGTCTCGCGCAGTGGCCGCATTTCAGGTTCACAATTATGAAGCGGTAAGTGGCGTGGTGCTCGCGAGCGTTTTATCACCACCATTTCCATCATGGTTAGAGCGGTAGTGCCGGCGGTGATGCCTGGCGGCAGATAAGAGAGAAGCAGTTCTTTGGTGTGTGGCAGTTGGTGCGGACAGTTGTCTCTTGCGGCGGGTCTGTGGTGGACAGCACCGCGGGTCGTCTGCCGTGGGCCCGCATGGTGAGTGAAGCGTTGGCGACGCCGCCATGTGTTTGGTATTTTGCTAATTGTTGTGTAAGGTTGCTTAGAGAGTTGATCATAATATGTATATTAATTCGGCTGACCATATTGTCAATCTTAAAGTAGTGAAATAAATGTGTGTTGTTTGGTTCGTTTTGAATTTGGCTACTGTGTCTGTGTTGCGAGAGCGTAGCGTATCATCAGAGACCCCACACTGGCACGCCACCTACCGCTTCATAATTGTGAACCTGAAATGCGGTCACTGTGCGAGGCACGTGCACCACGAGGCGCTAACTAGTTTACAGGGGGTGTAGCACCTCCACAAGTGCATGATCAATCACTTTCAACTTGAAAGCAGTCGTATAACTTCCATATTGCCCCATAACATGACCACAGAACGGACACAACATAGACTAACACACTGCAACACACACCTGCCACTTTGTCTTGGCTTGGATTAGATTGGGATTGTGCATTGATAGTATGCATGATGCGTAAGAGATGGCATAAGGCTGTCATGTGCTATCATCATCAGTGGTTGGAAGGAGCAGACGACACATCTGCTGCAATTTTTTAGGGGGGGGGGGGGGGAACGTATTTTTGCTGGGTAATGCATTCAGGGATGTCACGAGTGTGCTTTGCCCCAGGAGCACAAGCATCGCAAGGCTCACCGTGACCACAAGAGAAGTCTCGAGGCCGCCACAAAGGCTCCTGCTGAGGTTGACTCAGGTGCAAAGGTGAGCAGCTCTTGTTGGTGCTAATCTTTCTCAAGCCCCTCTTGCCAGGTTGACCAGAGCTTGTATTGTACTGTTTGTATAGTATTAATAGCCAGAGGCTAACTGTGTAAACGTCTGCTCTGTTTACTTTTAGCTCACCCGTTTGACATAAATCAAGTAGCCCTTTATGCATGAAGCAAAACAAGTTCAGTATTTCTCCATATTAGTACTTCAATTGTCTTGCCCACATAAAAAAAGTGTTTTCTTGAGATAAAGTCTGAAACATATACATACACACAATGCCTATGGAACAATTCTATAGGACACTAAAGAGAACAAAATTCACTTATTATCAGTGAATTATTCTGTTACAATTCCAAAATAACCATGCTCACCGGGACAAGACTCTTGGTAGGTGCGTAAATGTACTAAATGAAAATGCATGTGGGGATGCCAGCTTGAAATTCACGCAGTAGAAGTTTTCACTATTTTGATGGTATCTACCGGGGCTCGGGTAGATCATAAACAGCACAAAAATGAAATAAATTGACCTCTGAGTAGCCCACAGGCTTAAAGGGGCACTAAGGTAAAATTAGCGGAGGAGTTTTACAGAGATCTGTACAGTAGCCAGCACAACCATGACCTTAATATAAGAACTAGCAGTTACCCAGATGACACCCCACCAGTAATGATAGAAGTCAGAAAAACTTTAGAGAGCATGCAAAGAGGCCAAGCTGCTGGTGAGGATCGGGTAACATCAGATCTGCTGAAGGATGGAGGACAGATTGGGCTAGAAAAACTAGCGACCCTGTTTACGAGGTGTCTCCTGACGGGAAGAGTACCAGAATCTTGGAAGAATGCTAACATCACCCTAATACATAAGAAAGGAGATGACAAGGACTAGGAGAATTACAGGCCAATCAGCTTGCTCTCTGTAGTATACAAGCTATTTACTAAGGTAATCGCTAACAGAATTAAGACAACATTAGAATTCAGTCAACCAAAAGAACAAGCTGGATTTCGAAAGGCTACTCAACAATCGACCACATTTATACTATCAATCAGGTAATAGATAAATGCTCAGAATATGATGGTTTAGCGTACTGGGAGCGCAGGGGTAAACACAGACACAAAGCAAAGAGGAGGCACACAGCACGAGCGCTCAACTAGCAACTGGTTTATTGTCACTTGTCTACGAATTATTAATATAGTTAAACTCACAGTCAAGCAGTGATAATAACGGATGGCTGATACATTGATTCTTATTTCTAGAAATGTGATATGCTTAGGAAATTTCACGCATGGTTTGAAGCGGATGCCGAAACAGTACACTTGTTTTTAGGCAGGGGGATACAATATCCCCCATTCTATTTACCGCGTGCTTACAAGAGGTTTTCAGAGGCTTAGAATGGGAACAGTGAGGCATAAGAGTTAATGGAGAGTACCTTAGTAACTTGTGCTTCGCCGATGACATAGCATTACTGAGTAACTCAAGGGATGAATAGCTACTCATGATTACAGAGTTAGACAAGGAGGGCAGAAAAGTAGATCTTAAAATTAATCTGCAGAAAACGAAAGTAATGTTCAACAACCTCGGAAGAGAACAGCGCTTCGAGATAGGTAATAGTGCACTTGAAGTTGTAAGACAGTCTACTTAGGACAGGTAATAATGGCGGAGCTGAACCACGAGACTGAAATAACTAGAACAATAAGAATGGAGTGGAGCGCATTTGTCAAGCACTCTCAAGTCATGACAGGTACATTGCCACTATTTCTCAAGAGGAAAGTTTGTAACAGTTGCATCTTGCCGGTACTTAACTACGGAGCAGAAACCTGGAGACTTTCAAAGAGGGTTCAGCTCAAATTGAAGACGAAGCAGGGAGCAATGGAAAGGAAAATGGTAGGTGTAACTTTAAGAGACAAGAAGAGAGGAGAGTGGATTAAGGAATAAACCGGGGTTAAGGATATCATAGTTGAAATCAAGAAGAGGAAATGGACAAGGGCCGGGTATGTTGCATGTAGACAGGATAACTGCTGGTCATTAAGGGTAACTAACTGGATTCCTAGAGAAGGCAGGCGGGTGAGGGGGGACGGAAGGTGTAGTGCACACGTATCCCGAAGGAGTATGGCCACTAGCGTGGGTCCGGTCTTAGCGAGCCGCAGGGCACGCGTTAACCGTCGCTGTGGCGAGAACACGATACTGCTCAAAGTCGCAACACTTTATTGTCTGTAGCAACACCAAACGCAGCACAGCCTGTTGCAAAGGCGCGGCGAGAAAGCAAATAGGCTTATTCACGCCACGAGCATAAAAGTGTTACACAGGGTGCCACGAGCATGTCTCCACGGTAAAGGTGATCCACGGAGACGCCGGGACCAAGGCCCGGTTGCTCGAGCGAAGGCAAAGGCGCTCGCGTTGGCTTCGGAGGGAGAGGGGTCGGCGTAGCTAGGCCATGCACTAGGACACCGTACCGCCCTTCAGCCGTGCGTACGCAGTGGGGTAACAAAAAGTGAGCGTTCGCCAAGGGCGCGAAGCGCCGTCAGCGAAGTTTGACGAGCCCCGAGCGACGGGAGTCGATGAACGGAAAAAATTGCGTGGCTCACTGTTTGCAGTCCCGGAGAGTACCTATCTGCGCGCTCCCGACGCAGCGCGCGAAAAACTCTCGGGAGACTCGGTGCGCGGTGCCACAGTCAACATGCGCTACTGGGTGAGGGGGTTAAACTAACACTCCGCTCTCCCAGCGCGGCAGACAACAAAGGAGGGGAGACATTTCGGGACATGAGAACGGCAGAAAAGGCGGCAAAGCCCGCGCAAAGGCAGTGGGCTAGCCTCAATTCCCAAAAGGTTTGGTGGGATTAAGAAGTTTGCGGGTATAAATTGGCAGCAGCAAGCGCAGGACCAAGTTGACTAATGGAACATGGGAGAGGCCTTTGTCCTGCAGTGGACGTAGTCAGGCTGATGATGATGTTCATGATCATGAAGGTAAAATAACAATTTATGTCAGAGTTAAAGCTCAATGTATGGCAATGTCTGAAGCAACAATATTGCTACGTGCCAGTGCATGGAGATGAAAAAGACATAGCAGATAAACTGGCACGAGCTAATCTCTCTGGTTGGCGCTGCTCGCTAACCGGCTGTAAATACATCTGTGACTACTCCTCCGTGTCGGTCTCCTTCTCGTAACACATTTGGTGGAGTTGTGCGATCCCCATCCTCGCCACGAAACTCTCAAGTGTATGTTCCCTCGCGGCTTTCAACATGACCACTCCAGACTCGGCTACATCCTCTCCTGTCGCCCACTCTTTTGCGCGGCCTGCCAACCCAGCGCCCGCAACAACTTTCGTGACGCTTCCCGCCCTCAAAGACCCTGGCGTGTTCTCGGGCCGCGAGGGTTCCGATGTCGACCAGTGGCTACGCCTCTACGAACACGTCAGCGCCACTTTTATCTCGATGGAACTCCTCGTGTATGGTTCGAAAACTTTGAGCATGACATTACAAGCTGGGACAGCTTCAAGGAAAAGATCCATGAGCTTTTCGGGAACCCCTTTGGTTGTTGTCAAGCTGCGAAGATTGAGTTGACTTGCACACAAACTTTCACGGAGTCCTACATCAGTTACATTGAGGCTGTCCTCGCACTGTGCCGCGAAGCTTACGAGCCTGACAAAGTTGTGCATATTCTAAAGGGTATCGCCGACGATGCGTTCAACTTGTTAGTATTCAATAATCTGTCATCTGTTAATGCCATTACTCAAGAATGCCGCTGGTTCCAACATGCTAAAAGCAGGTGCATCTCCTATCAGTTCCAGCGCCTTCCGAACACCGCTGCGATGTCCTCGTGTCTCGTCACCTATTATCCACCAGACACCTGTGACAACTTGACATGACCCGTCAGGCGGGCACTTAAAGTGGCTGCTCCAGCTAAGGTATGACAAGCCTCCCCTGACCTGTTTCCTCCAATTAAGTTGCCCCTTATTCACGCAGTTGTCCAGCAGGAAATCGCCAACTTGGGAATTTACTCTATTTCACCGCCTCCCCGCACTGACTTGCAGCCCCAATACACACCTGTACGTCCCTTCCCGACCGGCTCTCCCTCAACGTTCCGTATTCTGCATAACGAACACACGATGACAAGCCGATCTGCTTCTCGTGTCTCCGAATCTGGCACATTTCTCGCCATTGCAGAAGTCGCTGGGGTCCTCTTGCACAAGCTTCCTCTAGTACCTTCTATGCACGTCCCGCCTATCGCTATGAGACCAGCCACGACCATTTTGCCCAGGAACCTGCTACTGAACACTGCTGCTCCCGTTCTTCATCCCTCTAACAACGCCAGTCTCAATCTCCACTACCCCGCCGACCATCCTCTCCCCCCCCCCCCCCCTTCGCACGAGGTTCACTAACGGAAAACTGTGTTGCAGCCCCCGGAGGTGGTGCTGCATCGCTCGGACTGACGTAAAATCTACTCTTGACGATACAGACAAAACGGAACCTTATAGACGTACAAGTAGACGGCGTACATGTCGCTGCTCTTGTCGACTGGCGCTCAACTTTTCGTGATGACGAGTGAATTTCGCCGCAAGCTCAAGAAGGTTCTCACATCTGCGACCACTCAGTTCATCCGTGTTGCGGATGGCAGAATAGCATCTATCATTGGAATGTGCTCCGCTCGTGTAAGCATTGCAGATCGACACACAGTTGTTCTCTTTACCGTCCTTGATGAATGCCTCGCGACGGAATCTTAGGTCTTGACTTCCTGTCCGTGCATTCTGCCCTCATAGACTGTTCAACCAGTGTGCTCCGTCTACACTTGCCCGCAACAGAACGTCTTGCACAACGGCCGAGTCACCTCTGCACAACGAAACATGCGCGCCTACCTCCACAGACACTGACCTACGTAGAGCTCGTCTCAATACCACCAGTTCCCGACGGTGACTGTGCTCTGACCCTTATCACCGATGTCCTCATAAATCGCAGCATTACATTACCGCACACCGTTCTGTCCGTCGCAGAGAATTCTACCTGCCTC